AAATACATGTGGATCTATGTAATAATATGCAGAGCGAAACCTGATATTAGCATGGACATTTGTGTAATAATAACTTGGAATGATGCCACGAAATTCACAATTAATTACAAAGGATGATCAAATATAAATTTCCATGTAACATATATATGTGGTGAAGATAATATAAATCTCAGAAGTTAATTGGTTTAAGTGTAACATAGGATAATTTTTTTTGGTTTTTAGTTATAGACTTTGAATGTTTAGGAATAAAATACGTTTAAAAGGATAAGAAGAGATGGAAAGAATATCCAATGTGTCGATGGACCAATAACGATATTATTAACAGTAATAATTATAAATACGAATATATGCAGACTTCATATATTAAGACGAATGAAAATAAAATGGACGTTGAAAGTTTCAAAAGTCACACTTTGCTTTTCAGTCAATTAGATGGATGACGGGCCTTGTTTATATAAATCATTATTAGACACATTGATATTCGACAGGTGACGCAATCCACTTTCGGAAAGAAAATCATCAAGGAGACTTCTGAACTGGGTTGTAAATTCACTGCAACAAAAGTTCACTGGCAGTCTGTTCCACATGGTTGAGTAGCCAATAACAAAAAAATTCTGGCGTGATTTGAGGTTAAGGCAGCGGCCAATGTGAAGAAATGTACTTTTGACAACCTCAAGTGGGAAGTTCCACGAAACAGTCCATTCGTACAAACTGTTTATTTTTTCTTGAATTACCGCTGAAATATAGCTTTCTTTGGTGGGAAAAGAGAATGAATAAACTACTTTTGGGTCTTTGGCAAAAAGGGAAGATTTACTATACTAAAAGGGGGAGCACGCGTCACTGATAAAAAGGAGAAAGAGTGATGGACCAATCACACTTTCTTGTATAACCCCACTGGTTACATTCACAGGTTTAGAGTAGAAAAATCCAAAGCGAGCGATTTGGCTACGTTCTTCCAAAAAAGATTTGAGCCAAGATAAAAGGGGACTTTGTATGCCGAGTGAAGAGAGTTTTAGAAGAAGAATTTTGTGTGAGACACTGTCGAAAGCCTTACTAAAATCGAAGTAAAGAATTATCACTGACTGACCAACATCTCTTCTCTGAGTAATTTGATCCGAAAATTCCAGGTGCGATGTGAAACAAGAGCGTTTAGTCACAAACCCGTGTTGGGATGGGCCAATCAGACTAGCCGGAAGTAAAAATGATAATAGTTGTTTGTGGATGATTTTTTCCATGGTTCTTGATAGCACGGATGTTAAAGTAATTGGCCTATAGTTAACAATATCACTATATGATCCTGTTTTGAATCTAGGGGTGACATGAGATGTTTTCTATGCAGATGGATAGGTCCCATATTCCATAGATAGGTTGGAAAGTTTCAAACAAAATAGTGGGAATTCTCCACTCCCATATTTCAATGACGAGGAAGACGGAAGGTCCACATTTATTAGAAAGACCTAAGTGTGGTGACAAGTCACTGAGGTTAAACTAGGTTCTAACTCCCAACTACTGAATGTAAAGATATGAGCTACTATCCACTTAGTTTTCAGAGCACCTAGTGTTGGCCAACCCAGAAATCACTTTTCAGATTGGACTGAGATACTCAAGGTAATTGCTTGACTAAGTGGGTTTTAAAGTAACCTTCTAATAATTCGGTGTAGTAAAATCGATTTGTCCTTACAGTCAAGTGTGTTTAGAGTCAAAGCGTAACACTTGACTTGTTTAGGTTTGACTCCATTTGTCCAAGGGACGAGATTCTGAAACAAGAATAAATTGTTTCTTTCATCTAAGACTGATACGAAAACAAAGATAATGAACCCCTTGTTTCGAAGTTTGAGTTCTTGGGTGAAAGACAGCTTTTTGTGAGTAGGTGGTCAGTTTTAATGCGGTTCCTGGGTTAAGGACAGGAAACATCTTATCATGCTGCTACGAAGCACACAATTTCAAATTTACATTCTCATAACTATCGTGAGTTATTGTGATATATGGAGACTAAATGGATAATTATAATCGACTTATAGGTGTTTTTGGAGCTGATGAACAACGTAGCTGTTAAAATAGTGGTGGGAAGTTGAGGTTGTCACAAAAAAAAGCAACACATATTCTGTTCAACTACTAATTACACTTTATCCCCCCCCCAGTAAAGTAAAATATGATAATCACCCATTCTTATCGAAAGGGGTAGATTACTTCAGGGCCATCACACCAAGATGGAGGTTTGGCGAAACTATATGGTTGTGCGTCTAGAGGCCGTAAACAGTTTTTCATTGAGCCCATTTATAATGGTGCTGATGAAGCTCTTGGGTAGAGGAGGCTATCCAAGGGAAATCCATAGTTATAGCTCAAGACAAATTAATTTTGTTCCCAAGATTGAATGTACACATAATTACGTGCACAGAGGGAATTGGCTGGCACTCCAATCCCTCGACTGTTTGTCACTGAGGGTGGATCTTTGAGGCACGACTCATTATATACGCAGTGAATCAGGCTACATAGTACGTGGCCAGTTTTGAATGGATGAGTGCTTGGAACCTTCATGATGGAAGCTAAAAGTAACTTCGTTGACCAGCCTCGAGTTCATCTTGTAGGCATACCGTATATCACGATAGGATGAAGCCAGTGTAGTTGTTATTACTTAGACAGAATGTATTAAGCTTCAGTTAACATCTGATCAAATCCCAGGTATTTTGAAAGGTGGGGACAAGCAAAATATTTGGCTGAAGCATTCTAGAAGCGTTGGTCTCAACAATGCGTTTCTTCGTAACAACACCAACCCAAGTGAACCTAATTGGAAAGAAGCATGAGGAAATGACCAAATAAAGTGACGTTTGCTGGGTCCTCACAGAGAAATTAACAGCACTTTGATCCACCGCTGGGAGTACTACATATTGATGATGGATTATCAGTATAAGTACAGTTGAGGGCAGGTAAGGGTCTGTAATGGTATTGGTCCTATCCACATAATCCTCAAAGCCGAACATGAGATAACTGGAAAAATAGATGTTCAACGCCTAAAACGAAGAGAAGGTCAACAATGATGAACACGGGAACATCTATTCGAGATTCACTTGAATGCCATTGCCCAAGCTCGCAGGTGTGATCATCCTTGTTTAACTTATCTCTTATTTGTATGAATCATATTGTTCTATCTCCAGTCTAAATGTGTCATTTAGAAACGCTAAACATTATACTGCTGATTGTTACGTACGACTAGTCAGAATAGGCAATAACGGGACTTCCAAGTAAGACCTTATAGATTAGATCTTCACGTAATGACAAGTTTGCAATTTTAGGATTAGGTCTATTATTGTAGCAGTACCAAGAACGAAGTAGACCATAAATCTAAAGGTTATAACACGGGGTATTAGAGAAATATATCGTTTCGGGGCAGTGGGGAGTGGATAATTACAATGGTTCATAGGCGTACTGTTGTATCAGACGTACAGCCACTAGTCCTGACGTCTGTTTGTTTTCCGGAGTGTGTTCTTGATTTTGGCATTAATCTCCTTATAGTGCCGACCATCCCTGGAATTGAGACAAAGGATTTATCCATTTATAAAATTTACTGGGATTCCTTTTATCCTAAAAATTACAAGGGAAGCATGAAGTAACTAACATATTACAATCCGTCATTGTGAAATATGTTCCTTTTACCTAGCTACCAGAGAGTCAAACGCGTGAGATATTCTGATGCTACATTTAGAACAAACACAACAAGCAACGAGCTTTTGAAAACCCTCCCAGTAGGCTTCAGTTGTTATAGCAAGTATATAGAATCTACCAAGCCAATTACAGTACATTCAAAATATCGAATATTGTTAAAATTTGATCATAAGTTCAATGATGCAGTCGACAATGTTGAATCAACATCACAGGCTACTGTCAGTGATACTCAACAAACAATAATCATTTCCGCTGTAGTGAACTTGTCTGCACTGGAATGCTGGCAAATAGTAGCAGACATTCAATTCTTTCAAACTTTGAGTAATAGCCCGTTAATAATAATGTTTCCTTCAATATAGTGAAAATTCCCATCTCGACATTTCGTAAATAAAGAAGGAACGAATAAAGCGAAGAAATTTCTTTTCAAACAATTGAAAAGAAATTTCGTACCCACCAAGAGAAATCAAGAGACAGAGTCGAGGAGATCGGAAGAATGTATTTGGCGATTGCCAACACACCGGAATACTCTGATTTATTCTGGCTAGCGATTGCGGTAGATGTTGAGCATAGCGTTACCACACGCGATCTGGTGCGGATGCCTGACCGAGCGCCTTCAGCTAGGCGAGTCCACAAAAACTAATCTGGTCAGCATCCAATATCGAAAACTTACAGAGCTATTTATTTTGAGGATTTATTTACCGCTAGAAGTTCACAAGGTCGAGTTTACTTGGCTTTCTGCGGTTGCCGTTTTTGTTGTCGGTTTGTTAATCGAGAAACCTATCACTTTCAAAATTTAAAAGAATATCTTATTAAAAAGAAAAAGCTCCAAATTATGGGTGAACCATACTTCTTATTCATGTAAGTTATTTTACTGATGCTACAAATTAAATACACATATTAGATTAATGACTAAATTTTGATCTAATTCATTTTGTCTTATTGATCGAAAAGCACATAAGATGATATGCAGTTCGCTATGGTTGTAGATACCGCCTAACTGGCGATAGATAGGTTAGTCAGTCTTCTTCAGCAGTCTTAATGAAGGTTCCGCTGCAACATATGTCAGTCGTATTAAAATTGTGCCAAAGGTGGGGCATAGCATCTTGTTTAAATAAAAGCGCTGGTTCATCAAACTCTTTCGAATCACCACATGTTAATCAGAACTCAGATTGAAACCAAAAGAAACCTCTGTTACTAGGTTTTCGTTGAAGCCATATTTCACGTCACTTGAGGAATTGAGATGTGTTTATTTCTCCTCGCAGTCTAATGAAAACTGCTATTTAACAACAATAGCTGATTATTAACATTTAGTCGAAGAACTTAAAGTTAATTTGTACCTGATTAAGGAAATCACGATACATTGTTGAGCTACTCACAAATTATAAATAGTTACACATTTCCAAAGTAATGTTACTCATGTGCCAACGCATTCAAATCAGAAGCGAAGAGGTTCGAAGATTTATTTGATAGAATATCGATATATCGAGTTATCAACCTAAACTCACTAGCGATTGTAGATGTAAAGCACGACTTTACACTCGTGATCTGGTGCGGATACGTAACCAAGAGCTTCCAGCTAGGTGAGTCCATTAAAACTAATGCGGTGGGCCTCAAACGTCGAAAACGTAGAGACCAATTGATCTTGGGGATTTATATACCTCTACAATTCCTTTATAATAAGCTTACTATGACGTTTCCTAACTTATATAAACCAACGAGGGCAATTATGTAGCGTGTTCAAAACCCAGCGCAGAATGCTGAACATAATTTTTCACTTTCATTGAGACTATATACTCTACAACAACCTTTGATTTAAATTTCCGAAAGTAAGCAGCATTTGTGGGGAGATTTGTAGCGTTGTAGCGTGGCGTCGAGTCACGGTTGACTATGATCACCACTACACTGCGACTTCGTGCCAATTATTAGGTTGGATCCCTTCGTAGGCCAAAAACCAGAAGGCAGTTGACGGTTGTAGTAAGATATATTTGTTGGCAATCTCGTGGTATCGATAGAACACCGAGGTCGGGCGAGGAAGTACAAGTGGAACTACTGAGCGTAACCGAGAGGGTGCAAGGTCACAGTCAAGGGAAGAATGTATGTTTTTAGTACAGTTAAACAAAAAAGTACGGTAAAACAATCACTAGTACAATTGGTTATAATAATAGATGTTTCCATTATACCAATCGCATTCTCTTGATAAAAGTACATCACTGTAGACTGATTCCACATAAATCAGAACTAACTATGGGAAAAATACACACAATCTGATAGTTTTCGTTATGGATTGATATTAGCCAGAATCATTAGATTGACCTAGCTTGAAACAACTCAACAGTCTCAGATGTCTCGTGCAAGTATTCGTTCTTTTAGTGATAGCCGGTGATATTACCAGTATATTTGAGGTAGTGCATAATACGGTAGGCAGCATTTCACTAGTTGATATCCGACGATTAGTAGTCCGATATACTTCTATTCATTGTATAGGCAACTAATGACATTTTTATACAATAATCATTAAACTTCACTCCTTTTAACTGATAGTTGAGTCAAATATATAATGGGTCATTTAAAAGGTATTTTCGTAGTTCGTAGTTATTCATTACAAGAATCATTTGATCGTCGAGTACAGAACTGTTCAAAATGCACATTCGTACAAATAAAATATTAACAAACCCGAATAAAATGTTATGAATTTCAGTGATATTTACATACTTATATTGTGGGAGATAGACTTTTTGTAACTAATTTTGGTATTATTTGCGCTTTTCATCAATTCTAACAATTTGTACAATTACCTGTGAAATCGCTACACGCACAGGCTATCCTAGTTTCTGAACAGACCAATCTATTCATTCTTCTCAAGCCACATTTGACCTTGTAACGTATTGGCTTATTAACCCTGACTATTTTTATACCATCGTACGTTCGCTTTCTCCAATCTGCTTCTCACTTTCCTATTTGTTTCTTTTCCGTGATTGTTTAATCGAATCAATGAGTGCAAGGAATATGCGTATTCAAAATCCATTTTCATATTTTGTTTATTTAATTCGGTTATTCACTAACGTAGATTAACTCGATAATTACATACGAGGATAGCCGATATGTGCATTTCGATGACAACCATCCATATAATCCGAATAAGGTCATGTTTCGGGTCACTGTATATAAAATGGGGGTTGATTTGAATGGTAGTCAGTCAGTCAGTATCATACTTCGAAAGGCATCGGTAAGGTCGACTGAAATGTCACTTGAGCATGAAGCACTAAAAACAGGCATGACTAATTATTCCTTACAACAATAATAACCCAAGGAAATACTATAAATACTTAGGATTTACCTGTGACTTGACATTTTGTTGAGCTTTACTACATTTGTTGGGATCAAAGATCAAATTACAAAGCAACAACAGAGCCAAAGTGTACACTACAAAACAGAGAATGCTAAATTAATGGTTTTGGTATTTATTTCGTGCTTTTTTATGCAGCATAAGGTGACTTATATATGAAAAAACTTGATACTCATGCAATCCAACCAACCCACGGCAATTGAAATACGGGATAACTGCCTCTAGTCAGGCCGTTCAAAGTCGTTGAAACGAAAGGGCGGGCACATTAGAAGGGACCTAACGTTTAAACCGTGCCCAGTCAGTAACAACGTAGAACTTAATACGTACGTACATCAGTTCGAGTTGCCACACCACATTAACACAGAGATGCAGTTGTCGATTCAAATCCCGTAGTGGTAGAGGTAGCAAGAGTATAAGCAATAATCGGGAAGATTAGGGTTTGAAGATGTTATTTAACGAGTATAATCCAGTGAAATAAATTTGGAAAGAGGAAAAAAGGGACATGAAGAATTCAGAAGATTAGAATTCGGGAGAACACAAAGAGTGGATGCACCTGCGCCATTGCAAATGATTTTGAGCCATGTCATTCAGGGTCTCTAACCATTGGTTGCTATCATCTCGCGAATCTCAACCAGGTAGTCTACATCTACCAATATGACTCAGTCTACTTGTCAGTGACTTCATGAACTTGTGCCATGTTTTGGTCTGGCCGCCTTTAGCGTTCTTCCAATCTACTCCTATACAACAAAACATTGATTTAAATGGTAGTAATGGAAACCATACCGTATCAAGCCATCTATTAATAGCAGTTCCCGTATTTTTAGTTTATCTGATTGACATCACAATTTTGTACAAAACGTTAGCAGTAACACAAAGTAAGGCGCGCAGAGATCATTTAGTAAACATTCATGATAGAAAATAATTGGAATATTCCTATTGTGATAGTTCAGGTCCAAACTAATTGATATCTCTTGTTATTTTCCGTTTAGAACTTAACAATCATTACATTGAAAACATTTATTTACGAAACGTGTAAATTGCAGTCAATAAATTATATTACATTCATAAATGAATTGAAGAAAAATAACCGTTTTGTTATTGAGAGCAGAAAGTCTGATAAGAAACTACCAAAAATAAATTTCCGCTAGAATCACTTTCTAATAACTACATATTTCGAAGGAAAATAAACAAACAGTTTACTACGTGTAAATATACTGGGTTATTTTAGATTGGTTATTGGGTTGCACAATGATGGAATCTCGTGTGACATTGATGAAAAACTAATCAGTGAGATGCTGTGTCAGCTGGTTTATTCCTGAATAGAAGACGGAAGATTTAATTCTAAATAATATGATTGGGGTCTAGCTTATAATAAACATGTGGTGTTTGAACGAACTAATAATACCTTTGTACTTGTTGAATGCTTGATTTCGAATTCCAAATACAATACATTCGTTTGTGATTGTGTGTCACTTCTTAATTCAATTGCATTAATTCTGGGATTCCTAGTTCATAATACAATTCAAAGAATTCAAAACATTATATTGGCGTCGCGATGGAGCCTGTAATGGAAAAGTTAGATATTTATTCAACTCCTGAAGCTTTTGAGGATTACTTGGAAAGGTTCGAAATCTGGAGCATGACCAAGAAAGATCCCAAGCAACACAAAAAGGGGAAATAAAGGGGAAAAAAGGGGAAATAAAGCGTACGAAGGGGGAAATAAAGGGGAAATGTCGCTTTTTCGCCTTTACGTCGGTTATTTAGGGGAAATGTCGCTTTTTCCCCCTTACGTCGTGTATTTGGGGGAAATTTGTCGACAATTCTATGTAACGTACAGTATTTGAATGAACCGCTTCTGGAGCTTAATTTTTCATAAACTTCGACGAATTAAGGCACCGCTTAATAAAAAAACAAAACTATTGTCATAAAAACAAGGTACAAAATACGGAACCAGGCATTCGGTTCATACGCATATAGACTGACTTTGTTGTTTAGCTAAAGTGTTCCGACATGCTTGGGAGCCATCACAAAAAACTTACGTGATGCAGGTGAGTGACGTGCTCTCAGATTTTCATGTTCATTGTAACTAATTACATTGTTAGGCCAATACTAAGAGTTCTGTTGAAGTCAGTGAGAATGTTCGTAGACGTAGGGCCACTGTGAACTTGTCACGTTCCCTTGGCTGTCATAGATCCACTTATAACAGAAGGTGGAATAAAATGAGAGCTGCTTTCATGAAAAAATATGACTTTCTTTCGTTCAGTGAGTTTGCTAATGAAAGCACCCTAAAAGGTAACTGAGTTCAACAATGTTGTTTATTAAATTGATAGAAGTAAAGAGAGAAATCACTTGTAATGACAGTACTTCAGCTATTACACCATCGACTAGCAACATCAATCAAGGACTTTCAGATAATAGTGGTATGTATATTAAATTCATACGTGAATATATATCTTATAGGATCTCCTGAAGTGAACCTGTGCTCTCCAAAGTTCGTGAATCGCAAAGGAATGATGAACGACTTGATGATGTATCTAATGTCAAATACATCTCTGAGCATAAGGGATGCTGATCGGGTTCTGTATGGTCTACGATTTTTTATCCCTGACATACGGAAAAGCATCAGAGGTGTCCTAAAGACGTGTCCAAGTGTTCAACCAAAGTTTATCGGCAGTGGATGAATGACTTCAGTCAAAGGTTGCAGAATATGTCAACAGCCATTTCCGATTTGAGCATTAATGTAAAGCAATTGCTTTCAAAGTCGAATGAGCGCGAAAGACCGCATCAATTCGATTGCGGACTGTCAAGTCAGCATTTCCCTTTGTCATCTGAAGAGGAACTACAGATGCTGGATACTGGTTTGTCGCAGAAAGAAACCAGAGACAGATTTGTAAGTCATTAACATGAATTTAATAATTTGTTACTATTACAGATGGCAATGGTCACTAGGTTATCAAGTGACGATCCAAAAACGTCGATGCGGTTTGTTCTGTCGTATCTTTTGACACCGGAGGT